CGTTGCTCTGGCGCTTGCTGAGTCCGCCGTTAAGAATGTCCTGGATGTGCTGCACTATCAGGTTTATGGCCACTGTGAGCAAAAGGGAGGGAAAGACATGGGGGAGAGGTTGCGTTAGGATCGCTGCAAATAAGCCAGAGTCAAGCCAGAGATGATGACTCTGCTGTCTCCCCTGCTCCCATCCCCTCCCATGACACGGTGGGGAACTGCAACCCTCTGGGGAGAAGCTGCTCCACTGGGACTTCACCCCTCTGCCCCAGCCGAGCCCAGCACTCAAGCCAGTGTAGTCAGGCTGATTCCATCCAGGTGGTGACCTGGCTGCCCCAGCTGCACATCTGGCCTTGGAGAAACACATTCCCCTTTGCGTGGGACGAAGCAGGAGTTTGCCTGGAGGCACTGCACAGAGATGGGCTCCCATGCTTGATCAAAGGAGCACGAACTCCCAGTCGCTCCAGGCAGGAGCAAACGGGAGAGGCTCATCTCAGCGTGTGTGTGGTAACAGCACTCTCTTGGGTGGCAGAGGTCTGAGTCACCTATGTGGCAGATCTTACTACCTCCCACATAACTGCCACAACAGCAACAGCCCGAAGTCGTCTGTCAGGATGCGAGGGCAGGGTCTGGGTCCACTCACCTTCATTATCTGCTCCTCTGGGAATGATCACGTCGGCATACTTCTTGGTCTGGGAGGAGAGAGAGCACTGCATTACGGGAAAAGTGGAGAGCCACCAGGCTGGGGCACCGTCCCTGCTCCCTGGGGCATGTCCTTCCCCTTGCCTTGCCAAACCCAAACCCAAACCCACTGGGAGGTATGCCATTGCTGATAATACATTTTGGATACTCTTATTTGTCTTCTGCTCTGTGTTTTGAGGGCCATGCTTTGCACCTTGACTCTATTTTCATGAGCTCGTACGGGCTCCAGTAAGGGGCTCTCTAACAAAACCTGATATTAAAAAGACTCCAGTAGCTGATGCTTTTGGGAACAACCTGCCCCCTGAATCCAGCCAGACTTGGCACGAGAGCAAAAGTTGGCATGCCTGGCCTGTGTGGCCATATGCAGGGCACAGCCATATGATCTGCTTGGCATGTGGGGAGAACTGTCTACCAGCATCACTTAAAAAAAGGCCTGATTTGGGACACCAGTCCCAATCCATTTTCACCTGCAGGTGTCAGTCTCACTTTCCTCTCCTGTTTGTGTCGGCTTTTACAGCTGATCAGCTTCCTGACAGCCCAGCTCTTCCAGCAGTAAAGAAGCCAGCTGACTTGCCGAAGGGCATCATCTAACACCTCCAGGTGCTTCCAGCCATATCAAAAATCACCAGGACACGCTGGACCATTTTAGTGCTGTACCAGCTGATCCAGAGCTAGTTTAGGAGTCGAGTAACAGCAACCACGGGTGCTGAGCCTGCTCAACATGCGCATGCGATTGCTCTGCAGCTGAGCCCACCACCAGGCCGGAAGTGGGAGCAGACCACTCCAAAGGTGGTGGGTAGGGGCAAAGCACTTGTCCTGTACCCTCCTTGTTTAACATTTTGTCCTTCTATAGACTCTTCAACAGAAGCAACTGATGCAGCATCTGCTGCTTTGCAAAGCTGCAGATTGACCTTGCTGGGGCCTTTCAGGGAGGGGAGCCACCAAGATGAACCCGTCTCTCAGGAAAAGCCTTTCTGGGATTATACTGGAATCAGACCTTGGTCCTCAGAGCTACAACTGAGACAGAGAAAAGGGTGCTGCCCAGGAGCCAGGAAAAGATCTCATAGCACAGAGATGCTCCTGAGGCTGGAGGCATAGGTTCATTCCTATCTGGGGTACTGGCCAGCAGTTCCCAGGTTGCAGGACTGTGCTGGCTCAGTTCTCCAGAATAAGAAAAAATTCTTTATACAGCTAACACATCTGCTTGAAAAGCCTCAAGAACCGAGGCACAAGCTCCCCTCCGTGAGAGCCAGGAGAGGTGTGCAATGGCTAGTCCTGCAAACGTGTTGTTCCACCTGCGTTCTGCAGAACTGCAGTGGTCTCCTGCATCCCAAGTCCCTCTCTCCTAGACAGCCTTGCCTCAATTATCAGCTCCCAAAGTATCTTCCTTTCTCCAGGCAGACCTTGTCACCTTGTTCCAAAGAAAGGCCTTCTACCTGGCCTCTACACCTTGTCCTCTCATCAGCCAGGAGATGCAACCTGCAAGGCCATGTCCCGCAGCACAGAGCAAAGGAAGGAGCTCCCTTGCTTTCCCCAGCACACAGCCAGCAAGAAGCCAGCTGCACTGTAGGGTGGAAAGTGCAGGCAGGACAGCCCAAAACAGGAGGTAGGCACAGGAGATGCTGCCTGGGGGCAGGGATCTCGCCTTCCGCAGCTAGATACAGCCAAGGATCTTCCCTCCTGGGCTGGCATCTGCTGAGCTGCCTGATGTTGGTTTGTCAGACTCGGTGCAGGGAGAGGTTTTTCTTGCTCTGTGGGCCTTCCCATAGGGATGATGATCTCACCAGGAAGGGCAGTGACTGTATAAATAGTCCCCATCTCACCCTGCCCCAGCCAGCACTGGCACCCTCATTTTTGTCAGGGTCTGCAGGTAGGAAGCAAGGTGAGGCAGGCTGACCTGAGCTCTGGGTCACAAAATACTCCTGTCTGAGGAGCTGGGTAGGGTATAAGGCATTTTTGGGTGGACTCTTGTGGGTGTTACTCCCCTTACTTACTGGCAAACAGAACTCCTCGAAGGCAGGCTTGACGAAGGTGATGTACTGCGATAAGATCTGCTCGAGGTCCCTGCCTCGCTCACTGATGTCTCGTAGCACTGTGGGGAAGATGTAAGACACAGCTGGGAGCTGAGACATGAATCACTCCATCCCTCTTCCTTTCAGTGCAGCCTTTGGCCAGCCACCCGGGTATTTTGCCTGAGGTCTCTGTTCCTGGAAGCTGCTGCCCACACATCCGAGCACATCTCAGCCCAGCTACATGCTTTTAACCAGCCTCCAAGTTTTCCCAAGAGCCAAGGGCTGCCTGACCTGACCAAGGGCTTTTTGTGGCCTTACCCCCTTCTCAGCTGGGCAAGCCCATTCCAGCTGTAACCAGTGCCACCCCACTCCTGATTGCTCCCAGACTCAGCCCTTGCATCCCTCCTGTCACTTTGCCTTCCCCTTGGCCTAGGGATGGGGGATTCTCCCCCTCATCCCAGTGCAGAGGTGCCCAAAGAACAGAAAAGCAGTGGATTCACCAAGACAAACATTAAGGTGCAGTTTAACTCAGGTTTGCAGAGGTGAGCAGAGTAAAACTCACCCACCTACACAGCTCTGCTAGGCTCCTTGTGCTGTCCCCAGCTGAATTGGGTGGGAAGGGGAAGCAGGCTCCCACCATGAGAGGCTGAGGGGGTGCTTGAAGGAGATGAGCTCTGGAGGAAGCCAGGAGGCAGGAGAGCAAGCTGGCCTCCGGCTTGTTCTGCCGTTTGGACCTTACACCCTGTTTGCACCAAGTATTTGGGCCGTTGCCATCTCTGGTCTGAAGCCACTTCAGTGTGGACAAGTGCCCCAGTTAAAAAAATCCATGGTTAAGAACCACAACAGCCCTGTGGCCGAGCAGATGGCTCTTGGCCGTCCCCAGGGAGCTGGATGGATTCTCTCCAGCACACTAGCGCCTGGCACTGAGTTCAGAGGGAGCCTTCTCCACGTGCCAAGCAGAGCCAAGCCATGGTGCTCCCAGCCTGCACGACCTGCTCTGCAGACGTTGCCTGTGTGCGTGCAGGGCCAGGACAGCACTGTTCTCCCTGTGCTACTTTGGCACTGTCCCCAGGGCTCTGCTTGCCCTCGGCCAGCAGCTTTGCAGCGAGCCCTTTCACAGCCCCACACAGTGGAGGTGATGGAGGAAAGAAAAGGCTAGCAGCAGGGTGTGTGCCAGCTCCCTGCCTGCTCCAAGAATGGCTCAGCCCAGTCCAGGCTGTTCAAGGCAGCTCCTTGCCTTCTCCAGAGAGCTGGAGCAAGCCCCAGCTCAGACAATACAGAAAAAAAAAGGCAATGAAAATAAAACAGAGAGACTTTTGTTTCCCAGGTCCCACACCCTGTTTGTTGGCTGCCCTGGGATAGGGAAGGAGCAGAGCGAGGGTGTATTCACAGCACACTCGGCCTGGGACAGCATGCAGGAGGTCTGTGAGCTGCACAGGGCAAGTGCCCAGGCTGCAGAGGCTGGTCCTGACAGGGCAAAACTCTCCTGCCTGCTCCCTAGGCAGGCCACAGCAGGGAAATCACCCCTCTGCCTCCCCAAACACAAGTCATGCACTCTGCCTCGCACCCGCTCCCAAAGCAACGGGTCCCAGCAACCCAGGCTAAGACCACGTACCCTGTCACCCTCCACTTGCAGGGCAGGCAAAAGTCCCACGGACAGATTGGCGCCCACCCAGAGCCAGCAGGCAGATGTCACTTAAACCAGGCCCGAGACATGCGTGTGACACCTGACTTGATCTTTGTTGTATGGAAGCTGGCCAAGGACAGGACAGCAAGGGACCTCAGCCAGAATCAGCTCTGCATGGATGAGGCTGTTTGAGGTGCCCAGCAGACCTCAGGAGTGCAGACCTCTGCACGCTGGTAGCAGCGTTTTTCTTGGGAGAGGTGCCGAGATGGGGACAGTGCGAGCGGCACACACTGAACCCCAGCACTACTGATTAACTGACCTCCCAGCTACATTTCCAGGAACCTCATCTCCCGCTGCTGCCCAGCTGAAGAGCCCATGGTTGCAACTCTTCAGGACTTCTGGGAGGGGAAGATGACTCAGGGCCATGTCGCAATGCAAGATCCTGACTTTCGCTACAAGCTGCCTTCAGCTATGTTCCAGGGCCGTTATTATACCTCCAGCACCTCACACACAGGCTTTCCTTTTCCAGAAACACCAGGGAGACACACAGTAAACAGATTTGCTGCTGCAGTGGTCCTACTGACTGCTGATGGCAAGGGGACTGCCAAATGGCCCGTTCCCTATCAGGAGGCTGATGAGTTGCCCCATCTAGGAGACACCAGCACCTCAACGAGCCTAGCTGTCCTGATGGTGGGTGGAAGAAACCCCCCAAGAATAGCCTGGGCCCATGTGGCTCAGGACCCTGCCTAACAGCTGCAGCACAACAGGGTTTCGCTCTGTTTTGTGGTCAGCACCTGGATGGTCTCAGTTCTTTGTCAGTGGGACCTCAACCAGTTCTTAAGCCATGAGTTCTATACCAAGTCTGAAGTCACCGAACCACGTGTTCCAGAGTACAACTGGGATGCACACACAGTCACGTGGCACTGAAAATGCACAAGGCAACGGCTTGCCTTCAGACAGCACTGCCAAAAACGTGTGCTACCCTGTGGCTGGGTGTGAACCCAAGTTCCAGCAGAGCGCAGGCTGCTTAAGGGACGAGGCTCACGTTGCAGGATCTTGCAAATGCGTATCTGTGACCTGCTAATACGTCTCCCTGCCATGACAGTGCTGTCACCTCCCTGGATGAGTCATGCGAGAACAGTGGGCAGGGTCAAGGAGGCTGCGTAAAAAGGAGCTTTTAATGAGCACTGATGACATCCCAGCAGTGGAGGAAGCTGTGTCGCTGTCTGACAGCAGGAGGGCAGGCCAGACCAGTTCCATCGCAGAGTGGAACAATCCCATGAGCACAAGCAGTCCCAGGCTGACGCACTGAGCCACTCCACCCTTGTTACAGCACACAGGTCTGGATGGGACCTCTCCTCATAGTCATCTTCCACATCCCCAACTACCCTGTGAAGGCTGATGGAGGCAGGCAGGGGTAGGGACAGTACAGCCAGAAATTAACTCTGCCAAGTCCCCAGGTGCTCTCTTTAGTCATCCAGGAGACCCAGGTGCTACAGCAGTGACCCAGCTCCCAAAGCCTACTTTGAAATTAATGGCATCTCAAGCCACATAGACCTCACAGAGACGGAGTCCCTTCTGTATCAGCTGGGAACTCATAGCCAAGCCAGCAGGACATGGCAAGTCCTAGAGAAGGATATTCTGGTTTCTAGGGCTCTTCGCCCCAAACCCATCACCCCAGCACCAAGTACTACAAAAGAGGTTTCGTGCTTCACTGGCTGTGATTGCAGAGACCAAGACATGCAACCAGACTCCCTGTCTGCATCATCCATGACGGACACCTTCACACCCAAATGCCATCCTCAGAGCACATCGACACCTCAGGTACTGAGCAGACCCATCAGGCACCACCTTCCAATTGAACTGTTGAGATGCTTTGCCTTGCCACTGCACCAGGGAACTGCTGGTCCTGCTGACTGGCAGTAGCTGCCATTCAGCTGATGGCACAGGACTGGGGCCAGAAGGCTATGTGAGGACACAGCACACTCAGTAGTCACACTGCTGCATTCATCAAAGGAGGAATCCCAGACAAGGCAGCAAAACCCCTACTGAATCCTAAGAGACATTGAGCAAGATGCTCTCCACTGCCATAAGCTGCCCTGTGTAACATTCTGCACTGGGGAAGAAAACCTCCCTGGTTCTTTGCTAGCAGCAGCAAAGATTATTACCAGTTCCAGTTCTGCTCTGGTCACAGTCACCCACCTCTGTGACCAGCTGCCCAGATCGGTTAAGTGACGTTTCTGTGCACAAGATATGTTGGGGCCTCACCTCTGCGGGATAGCCGGGTGTCTGCATCTGTGTCCACAAAGAGCTTCATGCGGAAGAGATCCCGCACCTCCTGGCTGTAGAAGGCCAGGATACCTTCAAAGAGCACCACGTCGGCAGGGTAGACGGTCACAGTCTCCTCTTTCCTAGCAGAGGGAAGGAGTGTCAAAATATGCTAGTGGGGGGAAACAAGCCAGGAGAGGTGGGGGAAACAGCGGTGCTCCTAGACACTGCCCCAACCCTGGGACATCACTTCTGCACCAGGGGGGTGACCAAGGAGTGGGCAGACCTACTCCACCGGGGTCAAAGGAATCCAAGGCATATGTACGCTTCCTAGAAGGCCAAGCGGCAGAGCAGGAAGCAGACCAGCCCTCCTCCCCCCGCCTCGGCCAGCTGCTGCTTGCAAGCGTTACGTGCCAAGCTGTACAGCTCAGAAAGCCTGGGCACGGGGCTCGGCCCACGGGAGCCTGCAAGGGCCCAGCTCTGCTCCCCTCGGAACCAGGCAGTGCTCCCCTGACACCTCAGAGCTTTTGTGGGAAATGGAGCAGGGCCACGCCACCCACGACCAACACAGGCATGCGAAAACAGCCTGAACACATGCAAGGAGGAGCTATAGGAGCAAGAATTGTTGTCCTTCTCCTTTCCTGGCAGTGCCGGCTGTTTGAGCCTGGAATACTTGTTAAAGCTGCAAACACAGAGTTTATGGGTAAGGAAGAAGAGGAGGACCATCACCCCCCCTCCACTGACGCCTGTACGTTGCTGGATGCCACCACGTGGCTGCACAGCTTTCCAGAGCCTCAGACCGCGCCTCTATCTGCTCTGGATCCTCTAACCAAGGGGTCTGGAGTAGCTAGGGCTGAAGCTCTGGGCTGGCAGGTTAGGTGCCCGGGCACGGGGGCGAGCGGAGGGGCGGGCAGTTTGGGCTGGCAGGGCTGCGTGCTGTGCCACGGGGTGCCAGCAGAGGCACGGGCGGCTGTGAGACCTGGAGTGGGAGACAAAGTCATAGACGGGAATCTGGACTGTCTTCCCTTCCGTGATCTCTTTGAGCGTTTTCACGATCAGCTCGTTGTCAAAGGCATCTGAGGAGAGAGGAAATGTTACCCGAGGCAGCTTTGCGACCTCTCCCACCCACCAGCGGCTGAGCTCAGCCCAGCCGGAGCCACTGGCACCCGGCACTAGGTGCAGATGGACACACAGACTGAGGAGGAAAGCCCTGCATGGGTGTAAAACGGCCCAGCTCTCCTGCAGGCTCCCAGGCTTCACTGCTTTGCACCAGCCTGGGATCTGGCCCACAGAGATCAATACTGCTCTTGTACAGTGGCACTGACAGCCTGGGCTCGGGAAGGCATCTCCTCGAGAGCTCCAACCCTCAGAGAGACTGGAGCAGTGTTTCAGCTTTGAGTTGCCAGACAGACAGGGCTCTGTTTGTTCGGTGCTTGCTGTCTCTGACCATTGTCCCCATGGGGATGAAGGGACAGCAGTGCTAGAATTTCCCCACCAAGCCTGGAGATGGTTCAAAGAGCCCCTGTTGTAGCAACAGGGCACGGCCCTCTTGGTGGCAGGGTTTGCAGAGCAGCTGCACAAGATGGTTCCCTCCTTGATGGAGGGACATGCAGCTGCTGACAACAGGGGGATGTGCCAGGCCAATCTCCGTTTCTGACCCAGCTGCACCAAAAATGCTTTCAAACTGGGGACATTTTTGCAGGGAGGATTGTCTTAAGGAGTTTGAGGGTTCACAACCTGCCCTTTCTCATCCCAAAACCTCAATCCCACAGGCAGTTTCTTTCAAAGAGAGACAGAGGTTGTACTGCAGGGGACGCAGGTGGCCCTCAGACGCCCTCAGACACCCTGCCAAGGGTACACCCAGTGCCACAGGAGCTTAACTAAGCCACCTGCTCCTAACCCATGCGGAGACAGAGTCCCAGTGTCCATGCAAGGCTCTTTGCTGGTGGAGTGGGGGGTCCTGCTCCAGCCCTCACGCCCCACTGTGTGGCAGAGCCCCGGTGCTGTTCTCCATTCACCTGGATGGTCAAAATTGAACTGGCCTTTGAGCGCTTTGGATTTCTGCTCTGAGGTGAGGACCCGGTAGAAGCTGTCTTGGCTCACGATCACCACCTGCTTCTGGCGGTAGTCCACCTCGTTCTGGCCCAGCAGCTGGACGATCTTGGAGCACACTGAGGACTGGGAAAGGAACAGCAAAGGAGGCAAGTCAGTGGCAAGTAGCATCTAAGTCACACAGGGAGGATGTCCCCAGAGAATGGCCATTTCTGGGTGCCTGTGGCACTGCTTGCTGGACCTCCAGCCAAGAGTTCGTGGTCCCCTCAAAGGCACAGTCCAAAGCCCCCAGGGAAAAGTGTTCCAGAGGCATCAGCATGAGACTCTTCAGTGTGAAAGCAGCACCAAATTTGCTCCCTGTCTCCCTGCACTCCATCCCTATGGCCTGCCCACAGTTCCAGTCCCAGGCACTAATTGCAGCAGGAAAGCAGTTGGCTGCTGCCTGGATTCAGCCACATGCCCAGGTCTTCCTGAGCCAGCCCTAACCTGCCTCCCTGGGAGGCAGCCTCAGTGCCTTGGTTCTCCCAGCCCTGGTCCAGCCCAGAAATCCCACTGCAGCATGGGCAGGGAAGGAGTGTCCTCTGAGAGAGAGAGAGACAGGTTCTTTTCGTACCCTAAACAAAGCCCAGGTCAAAAAGACAGCAGAAAGAGAGCCCTGGGACCTCTCCCAGGGATCTCTGCCACAGCTGCCAGGGCTGGGAGGAGCAGCCACAAGCATATCCTGGTGCCTCTTGGCACAGTGAGGCTAAGGGCACTGCAGAGCCAACGGCTGAAGAGCCACGTGGCTCTGTCTGCTGGTGCAAGATCCCCGCGAGTTCTGCTGGCACAGGGACCGGCACCTCACACACCACGCGGAGCAGGCTGGGTGCTGGGGTCTGGCACCAACTCTGCTGGCACCGCAGCAGGCACCGGCTGCATGGCCAAGGGTCAGGCTGGACCTCGCCATCGCAACGCCAATCAGAGCACAGCCTGGGGGAAAAACCCCAGAGCCGGCTTCAGTCCCCTCTCCTTAGTAATACAAGTCCTTGGCCGCTGCGCAACACAGCGGCGTGGACAGCATCGCTCCCTGGCAGCCGGCACGGCTGCCCTGGCCAGTGAGAGCCACCTGCCGGCCAGCCCCGCGGCACCCACCGTGCAGGTGCTCCTGCTGCCAAACTGAGCTGCTTCACCTCCTGCAAGTCACGCTTGCTGCAGATGCCCAGCCGAGCCAGCCGCTCCTGGCCTCACCGACCACAAATACTGGGCACTCTGCTTTGCAAAGAGAGGTTTGCTTGCCCCAGCCTGCCTCCCCTAGCCTGCCTGTGGCTCTTTCCATGCTCCCACCTCCCCGCTGCCTCGACCATCTGCTCTGTACCTGGCTGGCAACCTCCAGATGCAGAGCTGAAGACAGGGGTGTTGAGAGGGAACAGGGAGGGGAATGCATGCCTGGCAGAGGAGGTCACCCCAGCCGGCAGAGGGCAAGGCTGTTTTGCCTGAGAAGCTGGAAGATTTGACGG